TATGAGGTCACAAAAATTTTTTCAGCCTCGACCATATTGCTTCTATATTATTTGTGTGTATTCAGCTGATGGGGTCCGCGAAATGCCTCTTGTGGACGACGACACGATGCACGTAACCAAGTCTATGTAAGCATCGATATGGTCTCCGATCGTCCCTATATATTGTGGTACCCACCTGGACATACTGTCGTATAATTGGTATTATAGTTGTAGATTGTCGATTTCTAACGGGTTTGAAGTGTCCTTTTTGAGATGGTCTATCATATATACCAAGGAACCGTTAAGTATATTTATGCAAATGCTACTTACCTAATGTTGTTTATTACTTCGTCATGTATTGAATTAGCGTCTTCTAATAACCGTTTCGTCTATGTCTACGACTCTTCCAAACGACTCATGCAAGCCTGTCATTTTTATTGTACATATATCTCGACAAAATTCATACCACTGAACTGCCGAATCTTCAGTAACATCTGCAAAGGTTGTAGACAATATTACTGGTGGTTTTACTATCCAGTGTGTAACAATTATCATGATCTGTCTTTGTCTTAATCAGTATCGAGTGAATAAAGTTCCTGTTCTTGCAGAGTATTTCGGCGAGACTCTAATTTATGGACGACTTTTGAACAAATGTTAAATGACCTTGAGAAATACTAGCCAATCAGCAAACAGTAAGTATAGAGTAATAATATATTATACAAAACCAAGGAAACAAAGTGAACACACTTCTTATACGTGGTTCAATAACTTGTCAAGGTTACAAAGACGTTCAGAGGTTCTAAAATCGTAATGCATGCAACAGAGGAAATCATCCAAATGGCTACAGAATAATCGAGCTCTGGAGCCATGATAAAGTCTCAAAAACTCTTTCAACCTCGACCACATAGTTTCAATATTGTTTATATGCACTCCGGTTGTTGAGTACACAAAATGCCACTTATGGATAATGACACGATGCACATAATGAAGCCTACGGAGGAGTCCGTACGCTCTCCAAACATCCGTGTATATTGTAGTACCTGGCTGCAGCCGGTGTTACTGGTGCTTTTATTATCCAGTTCGCAATAATTGTCATACTTGGACTTAGTTAGGAATTATATGTGCGGTTTCCAGCACGAACTGACATCAGCTATAATGCCAGAAATCTATTTAGTCAAATGGATGAAATATTTTCGCGTTAAAATCCGAGATCTGTTAACCTATACCTGATTGATTCGTCCACAAATTATAGTCTCGCCGTTTTATTTGTAATAGTCGCTGAATGATCACGTTTTGTACAAAATTCCCTGTTAACTGATCGTACGTTAGCATTAAACATTGAAGTTAGCGCCATAACCTTGGACCCTCTAAAATGCTTCTGATTGGCTCATCCATAAATTAGAGTTTTGCCATTCGTTTATTACGTTTAAAACGAATTAGAAGTTGCAGTTTGTTTTTTGTTGTTGTTGAAAATTCACTTAAATCAATGACACGTAACATTTCATGAAACTAATATCATTAGCTCGTTGATTAATGTTTTATGAATAATAAGTATGTTTGTTTAGTTCAAATGATTCAAGTGAACTAATGTAAAGTTAAGCTCAATCTGCCCCCAAATGCCCTGGTACGGCCGAGAGTGGGGAGAGTCCACTCTCCCTCTCCAAACGCTCTCATATGGCCATGCATACATAGCCTCTGCCAGGGAAGTCCTATTCACTGCCTTCTTGTGACGGGAGTGTTGTTTACAAAAATGAAAGGAGGAAAAGCGAGTGTCCGGCGCTTTAACCGGACCTCAAACCAATGGTGCACATGAGATGGCTTCAGTATCCTGCCTGAAGGAACAAATGGCGTATGAACCAATCGTTGGTCACCGGCTTCCATGGGACTGCATTTCCTCACGATGCTCCACTGCCTTGTGGATCAGACGTTCAGGTCAAAGGCTCGGGGTGTGGCCCTTTAAGGAAACCACCTGTTTCGGTTTGGGCACCCAGGCAGTATCACAACCCTCACACAAATCAATTGAGATTCGTGTGGTGCATATGTACTTGGTGCCTCCTTGTACCTATACTTATGCGTTAAAATAATAATAATAATAAGCTCAATCTAGAATACGAGATTGTTTATTCTCTTTGTTTTTATTTAATAGAAACTTATACACAAATACAGTTTATGACTTAATTCATATAACGTTTATATTAATTTTTCTCTTTCATTTGAGTCATATCTATTTGAGAACTTTATCTAGGCAATTTTGAGGGTTTATTTTATATTAGGGAATAGTTTTTAAAAACAAAATGTTACTGAAACATTTCAAATAATTTATTAACTCAATCATTATACAACATTCAATTGATAGTCATCTATTTTATGATAGAATCAATTGTCAATCTATTATTGTTATTATATCAAAATGAATCTTTAATTAGTTTTATCATCATTTGAAAAAATTGTTCATACATTGATTGTGTCATTTACATTGATTAATTCCCTTAAATATGTATAGGTTCTGTGGAATATTATTTATTTTAACACATAGGTATTGATACAAGGAGGCACCAAGTACATATGCGCCACACGAATCTCAATTGATTTGTGTGAGGGTTGTGATACTGCCCGGGTGCCCAAACCGAAGCAGATGGTTTTCTTTGGGGGGCCACACCCCGAGCTTTCGACCTTAACGTCTGATCCACAAGGCAGTGGAGCATCGTAAGGAGATGCAGTCCAATGGTAGCCGGTGACCAACGATTGGTTCATATGCTATTTGTTCCCTCAGGATACTGGAGCCATCCTATGTGCACCATTGGTTTGGGATCCGGTTATAGCGCCGGATATTCGCTTTTATTTCTCACATTTTCTTAAACAACAGTAGTGCCACGAGAAGGCAGTGAGTAGGACTTCCCTGGCAGAGGCTATATATGCATGGCCATATGAGAGCGTTTGGAGAGAGAGAGAGTGGACTCCTCACTCCCGACCGTACCAGGGCATTTGCAGGCTCTGTAGAATATTGTTTTATGATAATTACGTAACTTACCTTGAAAAGTTTTCAATTCCAAATAATTTAAATAATTTGGAGTAGTTAGTGATCAAAGGATGGAAATTAATAAGGGTACCTTGGTCAAGAAATAAAATAATATAGATAATAATTGGAACTGATTTGTGAACTTTGCCATACAACATCTAGTATTGATTAAAACAGCTGTAACGGCTAAAACAAGAAAGAACTATCATTATTGAAAGCAGACTATTAATGTTTTTACATATAAACTTATTAGAACTCTTGATTATAGCAAATAGTCATGGTTGATTATCATAATATTAAATCGACTCATATATTTTGTTAATTTAATTAGATTTGTAGACATTTGATAAGAATTCATTATTGTACTTTTTTATTAGCATTCTACTTGTTATAATTTGTAAATGTTTTCCAAAATCTCCGTCACCAGTTGTTATGATTTATGAATGGAATGTTACTTTTTATATCTAGTGATCGCTGATTGTTATGTTGGAATCGCTGATCACTTATACTGGGAATGGAGGGACCTCCGCAATTCCCATGACGCGAAAGGAAGAATACAAAGACTGTTATAAGTGAAAATTTATTAGCCCCAAAGCACTATGATGACGACCACGATAATCCTAGTCGAAAATACACTCATTTATATATTGATTGTACACGCATTTTGATTAATAAATTAGAATGAAATCACATATATGAAAAATACTCAGTTATCACAAAGCACATATATAGAGTATAGTTCAGATCAATGGAATAGAATGTCGTATATTAAACAAAATAAAATATCATACTGGGAAAACAAAACACAAATACTACACTGAATGACCATTACATTGAATCAAAACGGATGTAATGATGTATAAGACTCATAATGAGTAAATCAATCGAATTTTGAATTTTCTTTCCATCATATCACCTCCCCTTCTTTTTTTTGAAGACTGTTCCTTTCATTAGTCTTCTTCTTGCGACCTGGAAGGGTTTCGGCGTTCTAGTGCTTAGTTATACGCGGTATATCAAGTAAACAACCTACAAGTTATAACACTACTTCAATAGTTATTCTTATTTTACTTTAATTCATAAAGAAAATGAGCTGTTTGATAACAATTTGACAATGACAATTACGCCTGTTACTCCCGATGGAGCATAGGCCGCTCACCAGCATTCTACAACCCACTCTGTCCTGGGCCTTCTTTTCTAGTTCCATCCAATTCTTGTTCATTTTTCTCATATCTATCTCCATTTCTCAGCGTAATGTGTTCTTTGGTCTTCCTCTCCTCCTTCGGCCTTGAGGATTCCATGTGAGGGCTTGTCTTGTGACGCAGTTAAGTGCTTTCCTCAATGTGTGTCCTATCCACTTCCAGTGCTTCTTCCTGATTTCTACTACTACTTATTAAACGATATCTTACTGATGCATGTTCACTTTGTTTTGTAATAGTTGTCTATTTCATAGTTATTATGAAATCTGTAAAACGTTTGCATACTAATAAAAAAAAGTGAGTTGAATAATTAAGCAATAGTCTATTCATTGTTTAAAAGTATTGATGTGAATATTATTATTATTATTTTAACACACAGATATTGGTACAAGGAGGCACCAAAAACATATGCGCCACACGAATCTCAATTGATTTGTGTGAGGGCTGTTATACTGCCTGGGTGCCCAAACCGAACCAGGTGGTTTTCTTAGGGGGCCACACCCCGAGCCTTCAACCTGAACGTCTGACCCACAAGGCAGTGGAGTATCGTGAGGAGATGCAGTCCCATGGTAGCCGGTGACCAAGAAATTGGTTCATACGCCATTTGTTCCTTCAGGATACTGAAGCCATCCAATGTGCACCAATGGTTTTGCATCCGGTTATAGCGCCGGAAATGCGCTTTTCGTCCTCTCAATTTGGTAAACAACACCCTCTCCACGAGAAAGCAGTGAATAGGACTTCTCTGGCAGAGGCTATATATGCGTGGACATGTGAGAGCATTTGAAGAGGGGGAGCGGACTGTCCTTACTGTCGGCCGTACCAGGGCATTTGGGGGCTAACAAGAAACTATTCTAAGTGTAGAAATTTTACGTACACTAACACATAAAAGAACATTTATTGTATGCGTATATCTTCATTACAGTAAATAATATAGATACAATCAAGTGTGGTATTTAACACTCGTTGAAATATACATCAATCAACATATTATTGTCCTTCTCTTCTTTTTTTCATTTCAGCTTTGATAATGTATGAAGTGTGTATAGTTTTTAAATTGTTACATAAATTTATGCATATTTATAAGTGTATATTACAGATAGTGTTTTAGTACTCAGTAACGAAATGAGATAAATATGGAAGGGATAACTTTGATGTTGGTTATTACTACCACTACTACTACTACTACTACCACCACAACGAAAAGTACTGTGACTGGATTTGACCACAAAAATCACATACGAGAAATAAAATATTTTTTTTTTGGGGGGGTATATGGAGAAAAAACAAAGGCAGTAAAATATTTGATTGTACGCATGAAACAATAATCTGATGAATAGATTACCACTACTAACAACAGTAGTATAGTCATCAAACAAGGAAATAACTTTAGTAGAATGATGCTATGAGAGCATGAATTAACAAGGGGTGCAGCATATACAATGATTTTCTCTGTGTTTTGTTTTCACCATGAAAAACCACAATAATAATAATAATAATAATAACAAGAACATAGATTTCTTTAAATACTTAAAATGTAAACAAAAGCAAGAATAAACTAAACATGACGGTATTCACCGAAAAGACATGGCAACAAAAACACAGAATGGGTATATTGATGTGTGAAAATTAATACCGAATATTAGATTGATCAGTAGTAGTATGATGATGATTAAAAAAAGAAAATGAGGTGAAGTGAATTTGTACATCAAATTATAAACTGATTTTATTATTATCTAAGTAAAGAAAGAGCAAAATAGGAATAGAGAGTAACAGAAGCAAGGAGATTGAAATATTCAAATTTGGATGAACCGTGGAAAAATGCCATGAGAATAATAATAATAATAATAATAATAATAATAATAATAATGAGGCTAGTAGGTTCTTAGAAATACTGAATGTGAATAAGCTGATGTAGTAGTAGAATTAAAGAACCATAAGAGAAAAAATTCAATATTTTCTTTCTAGCAAAAAACATACATTTTAGTAATATTAAACTACACTAGGTCCATTATATTCTGCAGATTCACACCAATAATCTGATGGTTGATTTGTTTCAACTAAATAAACAACTGAATCTTTTTCTGGCTGATTTGAGCATAGATCAAGATCTGAAGAATCAGCTGAAGATGAGAGTTCATTATTATTATTATTATTATTATTATTATTATTATTATGCACGTTGTTCTGTGATAATAATGAATTAGAATTCATTTGTGGTATGATAACTTCTTTATAAAATCGACATTCTCTAGTGCCTAAATCATGATCATATGGAGGAGCTAGTATATCGAGAAAAACTGCTGGACCATCAACTGGAGTAATTTCATGTAAATTACCTTCAATTGGAAAAAGTAAACAAGGTTGATGATCTGGACATAGGACTGTATCTTGATGTGGTCGAGCAATGATTAAATCGGTCAATTGCCATTTTGAATCATCAAAAACCGATAACGATGGTTTATAATTTCCTAAATCTGTTGTTGATTTGACATTTTTTAATCGTGTGAAACTACGACATCGTACAGAACCGGTTAAAACTTTTAAAATCCCATACATTCCCGGATGATCATGTAAGGGTATACGAGAGCCAGGTTTCAAAATAAAAATACCCATGGAAAATACTTCATTTTCCATAATATGCACATAAGCGACTGGAGCAGATGATATATTTGAATCAGAGATCCATCGAACATCAAAGCCAACATCTTTTGGAGTAAGAGAGCGAACACATGCTAACAAACGACATAAAGATTCCGATAACTGTTTATGTTTTACCGGAAGAGTTGGGGAAACGGGTTTGTCAGAATGTGTCGGAGAATTGCCATTTATACAAGGATGAGAATCTCCCATCCCATTGTTAATATTAGCTGATGCTGGGCCCAATGTAGCACGTACTGAATGCTGTTGAAATGCATGAAAAGCCAAGTTGGCTACTGTTGCAATTTTTGTGGTCATAGGTTGCAAATAAGTATCATAACATCCAAACTTCAAGGGGAAATTTACCTGATAAAACAAAAAAATTACACAAAAAGTTAGAATTTACAAAACATGTGGTACTGATCTCTATTAGACATAGAATAATATGAACCTTTTATTGATTGGTGTTTATCACTTAAAATAACGCAACAATCAGAAGAAAGAATGTATGCTATAGAAGAAACAGTATTTCACATCCATCGAAAGGTAGGCTGCTAAAATTTTCAAAAATCATTTAAGGTATTTAGAGACGGTGAAAAGTTTATAAATACATATTTTGATCGGAAACAGTAAAGGACCCCTGTTTTTCAACCTTTAGAATTTATGCAAAACGTATAAATCCAGGTTTTTTTGATTGATAGTTGCATATTGTGAAACGTTTGAATAGTCTTACTAACTATCTGCTAACAATCATTTTATTCCCTGACATCATGGATACTTTAAATTAGTTAAACAGGACTGTGATCTGGAATTGCTTATTAGAGAGGACTATCTAGGGTTTATTAACATTATGCAAACTGTATAAGAAAAAAAACCCACTCACAGCATGTACATACAAACTAAATCTTTCACTGTTCCAAAACAAAAATGTGGTTGCTTAATCTTATCATTTCATTCTAGTTTTATCACTAACGTCTTTCGAGAAAGTTTTAAAAAAAATTAAGACAAAATAGTAACATGCTATTACTCAGAGAAAAAAATTCTCGATAACGAGAGTCTGAACGATAGTGATACGAAACGTTACTCAAGTCCCATGGCACTAGTTTGAGATCAACGACTGTGATTACAGGACTTGCCTTGGACCTCAGAAGAGCGAAGTACTTGGACAAGACAGACAGAATCCTATATTGAGATTCACACTTTGAGATAATTTGGTGAAGATGGTCAAGACGTTCGTGTATCCAACGTAGCTTTATGCCAGTGGTGTGATAGACGAAATTAATTCATGTATGTTGATAGACAGAACAACTTACATATACACTAGTTATCTTTTGTGCTTCCAAGACGCTCATCCTGGATTCCACTACTAGCCGAATTCCACCTAGTCTATGTCAACTTGTGTCATCATGGCTAAATAGAGGCAATCCTCACAGGATGACCATATACCAATCAAGACTGAACAAATTTCAGTCAAAATTATCAACAACAGGATAATCCAAACCGTTTTAAGTTGAAGGCTATGGTTTTAGTTTGTCTACAACGCTATAGTATAACCGGTTATACCTCATGTATATCAAGCCTGGCTTCAAATTGAAGATCCTCGGCAATTGTGTTTAATCTTCACTGTCTCTGAATGGTTGGTTGTATTTGGTGACAGCACTGTGTTTAAGTGCAGTAGAAATGGTGATTCAATAAAGGAAGAAATATTTCTTCCCAATTAGTTCTTCACCAGAGCTCTACACTAATAAATAAGTTTTACAATTGCATAGAAAGTCGATACAAAATAGATGATGGTGAGTCAATTTGAATGAGTAACAACGTTTAGAAATTAAAATTAATACTACATTGAATCAATTAGTTATCATAACTGGTTACATAGAAGAAGGAATAGGAAATGAAATTATGTATAAGCATAAATGTTTTGTGTTATTTGTAAGATTAATAACAAGTAATTAGTAAGATGGGTGCAACCAAAATTAGGTGATAAGATTATTAAACAAGTTACGCAATATTAGAATGAAAAATTTAAATGTTAACAAATTTTAAAAAGAGAAAGAATAAGCTTTGAGAAACGTAATAATATCTAAGTGGAAGCCCAGGGTAAATTCAGAGGTTGTATAGACCTTTTCTGTATACAAAAGTTAGTTATTTTGATATGTATTCTCATGGCTTATGATTTTTATGAGGGCCGAATTCTGGAACCCTAGGGTAAGTTCAACTCCATCTATAGCTCTTCTGGGGTTACTGCCGGTCCCAAGCCAGAGTAAAAGAAGAAGGTTAGGCATGGGGTTAGTGACCCCATGCCGTAGAAAACTAACTTGCTAAAAAAACGCTAACCAGAAAAACTAATTCAAACCATTTAAACTCTGCCCTGGTGGTTAGAAGGTCTTCATTTAGAAGAAACATGACGCCTCATGGTGAAAGGCGAGTTCCTTCGGAACCCATGAGGCTGATGACCGTCCTAACAACCAGAGCAACAATTTTTATAGGTACATGGAACGTCCGAGTAATGTGGGAGACCGGGAAGACCAGTCAAATAGCAGTGGAAATGAGGAGACAAAACTTGGCAGTACTGGGAATCAACGAAACCCATCGAACCCAAGCTGGACAGTAAAGGTTAGGTACGGGAGAGATGCTGCTATACTCCGATCACGAAGAGGAAAATGCTCCACACACCCAAGGAGTTGCTCTAATGCTGTCCAAAGTTGCACAAAATGCACTTGTAGGATGGGAATCTCACGGATCCAGAATCATCAAAGCATCATTCAAAACAAAGAAGGAGGGTATCACAATGAACATTATCCAATGTTATGCACCCACCAATGATAGCAACGACGAAGTTAAAGATCAATTCTATGAGAGGCTGCAATCAATCATAGAGAAGTGCTCAAGAAAAGACCTCACCATTCTGATGGGAGATCTAAACGCCAAAGTCGGAATAGACAACACCGGATATGAAGATATTATGGGACTGCATGGACTAGGAGAGAGGAACGAAAACGGAGAAAGATTTGTAAATCTGTGTGCATCCAACAAATCGGTCATAGGCGGCACAATATTTCCACACAAACGTATACACAAAGCTACATGGAACTCACAGGACCAGACCACAGATAACCAAATAGATAATATTTCAATCAATGAAAAATTCAGAAGGACAATGGAAGATGTGAGAATTAGAAGAGAAGCTGGCATAGCTTCAGATCATCACATGGTGGTAGCCAAGATGAAACTGAAGCTGAAGAAACACTGGACAACAGGGGGAACAGCATTACAAAGGTTCAATACAGCCCTCCTTCGAAATACTAACAAACTCAACGAATTCAACATAGCTCTCAACAACAGGTTCCAAGCCTTACAGGATCTACTGAAGGAAGAAGAAACTACTATGGAGGACAACTGGAAAGGTATCAAAGAAGCATTGACTTCAACGTGTCAGGAGGTTCTAAGCCGCAAAAAGCATCATCATAAGGAACGGATCTCTATAGAAACACTGGACAAGATCAAAGAAAGGAGGAACAAGAAGACAGTAATTAACAACAGTCAAACACGAGCAGAGAAAGTCCAAGCACAAGCTGAATACATAGAAGCAAACAAGCAAGTGAAGAAGAGCATTAGAACCGACAAGAAATACATGGAAGAACTAGAAACGACGGTGGAAAAGGCTGCAAGAGAAGGAAATATGAAACAGCTTTTTGATACAACAAGAAAAACTAGCAGGGAAATATAGTAAACCAGAGAGACCAATCAAAGACAAAGAAGGAAGACCAATCACTGAGATTCAGCAACAGCGGAACAGATGGGCAGAGTAATTTGAGGAACTCTTGAATAGACCAGCTCCAATGAATCCACCGGACGTCGAAGCAACACACACAGATCTTCATATAGATGTCACCACACCAACGACCGAAGATATCAGGATGGCCATCAGACAAATCAAGAGCGGAAAAGCAGCAGGACCTGACAATATACCAGCTGAAGCACTGAAGTCATCGAAATAACTACGAATATGCTTCATCTTCTATTCAAGAAGATTTGGGAGGAGGAACAAGTGCCGATGGACTGGAAAGAAGGACACTTCATCAAGGACCGTGAAGCCTGGTGGTCGGAGCGTGCTAATGAGCTGGAAGCAGCAGCTGCATCTGGTAATTACCGGAAGCTCTTCCAACTCATCCGAACCACTGGCAGCAAGAAGTCTGGTGTGAGCGAAACAATCTGCGAGGATGACAGAACGCCAATCACTAACATCCATCGACGTCTTGGACGATGGGCAGAATTCTTTGAAGGGCAGTTCAACTGGCCTGCTGCTCCGGCAACATCGGTCAGACTGTCCTGCCCTCCATGGCCGGTGACGACTGATCCACCAAATGAGGCGGAAGTCCGCAAGGAACTCCAACTCTTGAAACGTTACAAATCACCGGGCCCGGATGACTTACCTCCGGCTCTTTTTAATGATGGTGGTGACTTTCTGACTAAGGGACTGACGACGTTGTTTACAAAGGTCTGGGAACTAGAGTGTGTACCAACGTCATGGAATAACTCGTTAGTTGTCCCTATTTTTAAAAAGGGTTCACGTTGTTCTTGTAACAACTATCGGGGGATAAGTCTACTTCCGATTGCGTCCAAGCTATTGGCTTCCGTCATACTTCATAGGTTGTTCAAAACCCGAGAAGGATTGACTCGCGAGGAGCAGGCTCAGTTTCGTTCTGGTCGAGGATGTATTGATCATGTCTTCACCCTCCGCCAAGTGTTAGAACACCGCCATACTTATCAAAGGCCAACAATCGTAGTGTTTCTTGACATCAGGGCTGCCTTCGATTCGTTGGACAGAACTGTTCTCTGGGATTGTCTATTGAAGAAGGGTGTGCCTGAGAAGTTCAATAACATCTTAATGACCGTATACACCAACACCTCAGGCAGAGTGAGGGCATACAACCACCATTCTCCATTATTCCATTCGAGCAGTGGGGTTAGGCAGGGTCGCCCAATCTCACCATTACTGTTCAACTTTTCCATCGATGACATTCTGGAAACAGCTCTGATGGATGTAAGTAATGGTGGTGTGGATCTGTTACCTGGAGAAAGACTTCTCGACCTTGAGTATGCGGACGATATTGTCTTACTGTGCGATAATGCCCAAGCCATGCAATCCGCACTTAATCAGTTGGCAATCAGTGTCCGTATGTATGGTATGTGCTTTGCACCTTCGAAGTGCAAAGTTCTTCTACAAGACTGGCAGGATTCTAATCCTGTACACACTCTGGATGGTGAGCAGATTGAAGTAGTCGAGAAGTTCGTGTATCTAGGTAGCTGCATAAGTGCTGGTGGTGGTGTGAGTGATGAGATAAATGCACGTATAGTGAAAGCCAGAGCGGCTTATGCCAATCTGGGCCACCTTTGGCGCCTTCGTGATGTTAGTCTGGCTGTAAAGGGTCGGATCTACAACGCGACGGTGAGAGCAGTTTTGCTCTATGCTTGTGAAACCTGGCCTCTCCGAGTTGAGGATGTTAGACGACTCTCTGTGTTTGATCATCGTTGTCTCCGAAGGATTGCTGGCATCCAGTGTCAACACTATGTTAGTAATGCAGAGGTTCAGTATCGTGTGTTCGGGTACAGAGACAATAATCTAATTGGTGTCACCATGTTGAAACACCGACTTCGGTGTCTTGGAGATGTTCTACGAATGTCGTCCCACAGAATTCCACGTCGTGCATTATTTGCGGACGCCGGAACTGGTTGACAAAAGAGAAGACGTGGTCCTTCACGACTCACTGGCTGGAGTCCTAGAGATGGTGCAACACAGTGGATGGAGACGTTATCAGATACGGCTCAGAATAGAAGCCAGTGGCGATCCTGCTGTAACCTTCTTTTACTTTCTTTGTAAAAAGTGGTTGTTTCTTCCTTAACTGAAAGAATTCTTCTTGTTGTACCTTTCCGTTTCCCCCATTATTATTATTACACTACCTTACACTAATCTGTGGTCGTTATTGCTCTTCTTTTTTTCTTTTGCGCTCCTTACCTTCTTTTTTCTCTTTCCATTCTCATTGTTTTGTGTGGCGCATATGTATTTGTTGCCCCCTTGTACCAATATTTATGTGTTCAGATAAATAAATAAATAAAATAAAATATCTTCAGGGCCTTAAATTTGTTTCTATTGTTTTCGGAGCATCATTATAAATGGATAGTTACAGTGCAAGTAGCGTTTTACAATCCGAATTAGCTGCTGAAAAAAAACAATCATAGCACCTAGAAATCGTCCACAATTTGCCTTAATGAATAGGATTCTTGCTTGGTTAGGGATAGTAGGTGATAAAATCTATTTATTCAAACGCTAACATTGGTACAAGGTGGCACCAAATATATATGCGCCACACTTCGTCACTCGATTTGTGGCAGCTGAAATACTGTTCAGGCACCTAAACCGAGGCAGGTGGTTTTCTTAGGGGTCCACACCCGAAGCCTTCGACCTGAAAGTCTAACCCATAAGGAGGAGATGCAGTCCCATGGCAGCCGGTGACTTACTTAATGATACTGCTTCGGTTTGGGCACCCGGGCAGTATCACAGCCCTCACACAAATCAATTGAGATTTGTGTGGCGCATATGTATTTGGTGCCTCCCTGTACCTATACTTATGTGTTAAAATAAAATAATAATAATAAAATACCCTACTAACATTATACAATACTATGACGTGATACCTGAGGATGATGTTTATGACTTCCGGATTGATCTGAACACTGAATTACTGGTCTAGGGCATAAAGGTAACTCCAACCCTATCAATAGACATTAATTATATGTGTCAGATACGGATGTAATAACACGAAAATCTCGGTAAGAGTATACTTTACTGATGACCTTCAGTGACTCTTACAATAATCCTGAGAAAGTAGAGTTCATTTCTAAACAAACAGACTGCAAATGGTAAAGATAGATACAGTAAAACCCGAGAACACTTAGATTGGAAGTTAGGTTCATAGTGTGGAAGTGACATGTAGCCGTATGAGCGGACATTTATGCAGTTCTATTAGTTAGAACCTCAAGTACCTATTATTCACCATAAATCATAGTAAGATATTACATCTAGTCAAATTTTACTTGTGACTTACTCAAATTTAGATGATGAACCAACCACCTTCCTAAGGTTAAATTAAGATATGCTCAAATTCGTCTCCATGTTTTAGTTTTCCCATGTTTATCAAATTAAGTGTTTCAGTAATTAAGTGTTATATGGTATACCGCACTCTCAGTAAAGCACAAGCTGTCGGTCATCAAGTTTTAAACTTTGCCCAAAACTCTGAAGACCGCTATCTTACATCTGCTCACCAGTATATTATCCAGCTGCCACTACTTAACAGGTTATAACTTATAGAGGTTCTGAAGTCACAGAAACGAATTTAGAGAATGTGAATCACTCTTATAGTGTTTCTGTGCAGTTTTTGCCATTTCACTTAATGAACGCAAAACAAAGCCATTAGGAGAGGAAGATATTCGTAGACTCAGGAGGATTCACCATTTATTTTCTTTTAGAACCTGAGTTCCAAAACCTTTTTGTGCCTTTTCTGCTTCTTCCGCACTTTATATTTTCTACTACTGTTTGTACTGTTATTACTCCTATTACTTTAAGACTTGTGTTAGGAAGATTTCATCTCGCTGCGTTATTTTAGAGACGGCGAATTGAGTGTTAGGTTTAAGAGACTGAGTTATCAGTATTTACGCAGTACTATGACAACTCAAATTAAGTCTCGTTTGAAAGGAACTTCTGACCTTTGACACGATCAAGAGGTCCACTGTGAACGTGATCGAAGAGATTGACTTATGCATAATGGTAAAAAATGTCAATCATAACTTTATTTAACTAGTAACCAACTTTTGAAGGTAACTGCAGGGAGATGTGACCGTTTGCAATTGAACATCTTGGTAAACCCAACTGATAAGGATCTAAGTAAACCACAAAACAAAGCCTTTCAAATAGGTCACTACGAAGAGGTGATTTTAGAGAGTGAAATAGGTTATTTACCCAATCCACCTATTCTGGTGAAAAATTTTGTCCATTTTTAGTAAATTTTGGGGAAACTGCAATAAAAGTTCTAGAAAAATGGTACAAAGCCCCAATATTTCCACAAAATCATATGAAACCTTGAAATATTTTCAAGTAATATCACAAAAATTTGAAGAAAACTACCAAACTTTCAACGATTTTTGGGGAAAACTCAAAAATTTGACCAAATTTCCCCCGAATAGAGAGACTGAGTATCGTACCGAGAAACAGAAATCAGAATTAGGCCAGATCTAAAAGAGCGGAAAACGGCCGACTTGATGAGTGATATAAAAATATTTAGTTCAGACGTTATTGCAGAAAAATCAAACAACCGAGAATTCTAATAGTTAAAATCAGTTGATTTCAACTTGACATGTATCATCATAGTACAAAAACCAGGAATTTATCAAGAACGACTGATGGTTTCCCAAAAAAGCAAGAACAAATCATAGAAAATATACAAGTACTCACAAATTGACTTTACTCCTTTAGAGAAAATCACCCTGTTCACTTGAGGTAACGTCAGTGTCAAATTAACACCGCGAAGCAGCAGCATGTGTTCACTGTCCAATCACTTCAGTCAGTTTTCCGTAGTAAGGATAGGAATCAATCAACGTATATCAACTTTTGCAAGTTGTAATGCTTTAAAGACCCAATCTCGCTTCGAATATATCAAATGAAGATGCCGATATTATATGTTTCAGTAATTCTCTACTCAGTGGGAGGAATGGATCTTCTTTAGTCTTCAATAATAAGGATATGAAGCTTATCGACCCATATTAAGCCCTGCAGTTTGTAAGACTGTGGAGGTTAAATCTCGTTTTTAATATACCAACAGAAGGTTCTGATAATACGTGTTCTGGCAGAGAATTCAATTAATTCACTACTCAGTGCGAGAGACGAAACTCCAGACGTAGACGATTTGATCTCGGTTTGTGAACTTTTTTCGAATATCCTCTCAAGTGATCGGTCCTAGACGAAAGTAAAAGATAAGACAAAAGGATACCAAGGTCATTGTTTAGTATACGATAAGCCAATACTAAATAACCCCTTATTCTACAGTAAGATAACGGAAATAAGTTAAGGATTCCTAGTCTGTTTTCATAAGATAGTCCAGATAGACCTTTTATTATCTTAGTCCGTCGTAGTTGGACTCACCCCAGGATATCTGCTTCATACTTGAAACCAGGACTCGCTGCTTGAATCCAATATTCCAAATGTGGTCGCTCGATTGTCGGGTATAATAATCTAAACATTTCGTCATCCAAATAGTGGAAAGACTTACGAATAAATCATAGTACTGTAGTGACCTACTTTTATCTAGAGAACGCGATTGGTGTGGTAGAAACCATTGTTATTATAACCAATTGTACCAGCGATTGTTTTACTGTACTCGTTTGTTTGACTATACCAAAGACATTCTTCCTTCCTTTGATTGTGACCTTACACGAACTTTCCTTCGCTCAGTTGTCCCACTTGTACCCTTTGGCACGATCTAGATATTATTTTTATACCACGAAATTGCCAATAACTATATCTTGACTACATCCATCAAATGCCTTCTGAGTATGGTCTACGGGGGGATCCAACCTGTTAACTGGCACGAAGTCTTCTTGTGATGGTGATCATAGTCAAAAGCGACTCAACGCCACACTTCAATATCCTATAACCTTTTGCAACAGCAGTCTTACAATGACTGGTGGTTCTGAGATCACCGCTTAGTGTGACTCCTTAATCTTTGTAGTTTCTTACTTTGGGTAACACGAATCCGAATGTAATATGGTGATACGAACCATCATAGTTATTTAATTGCATCACCACACTCTTGTTAAGATTCACTTTTAGTGACCACCCGCCTATCCATGCCACCAATGAGTTGAGATCATCCTGTAATACTATTCTATCCAACATACTGTGTATGGGTCTCCAAATCTTTATGTCATCGGCGAAGAGCAGAACGGATGATTTTTCCACGGTTGGCAATTCAGTCACATAAAGTAAAAAGAGAAGAGAATCGGAGCTTGTGCCCTGGAGGCCTCCACATTTACAGGTTACCACGACAAGAGAGCTCCATTAACCTTTACCCTTCATCTCCTCTTATGGAGAAAATCACCTATTCAACTAATGACTGCATGATGGATTCAAAGACTTTTCAGTTTGAATTTAAGACCAGAATGGGAGACCTTATAGAAGGCTTTACTTAGAACTAAGAAAACCACATCTACAGAAATATCTCGATCTTTTGCCGCAGCCCAATCGTCTCTTGCAGTGACAGTTGTCAAACATGATAGACCTCTCCGAAAATCATGTTGTTACCTTGATAGAAGATTATTCCCTTCCACAGCAGCTGTCCGAATAGTTTTTCCATTAGTTTCACAACTGCACTAGTTAAGCCAACGAGTCGATAGTTACTAACTAAATATCTGTAGTAGCATTGAGCCGTAACACGAGACAAACTGGAAAATAGACATTCAACATTTAACGCTGGGAAATACCCAACAAGGGAGAAGGCGGGAATAAGAAATTGAATTAGTCCGAGTTGATCGGATGGCATGGCTCGGCCTTGCAGGCGTGGTACCAGCTGAATGTTATCTTGTATCTTTTATTCATATTAAATATATTCTGTCTCTAGCCTAAGCTTGTCCTCTATCACGTATTGGTAATTGTTACAATGCAATGAGTTGGTGTAGACGATGATGTAACTTCCACGTAAGATCTTATAGATTAGGCAGTTACATCATGATAAATCTACAATTTTTGGATTAGGTCTATTGTTAGAGGAGTGCTAATATCATAGAAGACCGTAATTCTACATATCTACTCCCAGCCTTATACACTGAACTAGTTATCGCGTCTTTGCAGTGTCTGTGCAGTGATTACAAAGTCCAACACAGAAGAGCCTTGGTTTTCACCAAAACATGTAGGTTTGAATACACGCTGTACAAATGCCTGCTCCATTACTGTTATCAGGAACCTGCTATCGAAGGAGTTTATAGATCCTTCTGTGATCATCTCAGTCCAACTGATATCAGGTGCATTAAAGCCTCCTTATATTAAGCGTCTGTTATTTGCACTTAATAGCTGTATGTGCTTCAAAATAGTCACAAGCTTAGCAGATTGGGCTGCGATAGACGACACCCAGTATAAATGTGCCGCATCCGACAGCCAGCTCACAGCTAATGGCCTCACAAGTTCCACTATCATGAGGTTCACAAACAGAGGGGCAGATATTTACATTATTGGATATGTATAAAAGGACGCCACCTCGTTTCCTACATCCATGTCTATTACTTCTTGGGTAGTGGCCCTAATTTGTTCACTAATGCTTCTAGTTCATTGAGTTTATTTCTTAGACATATCAAACTATTAGGGAGAACAGCCTATCCACACAGGCCTCGGCAGCATTCGCTTCCAAATTCTGACTGTTCGGAAAACCACTAGTCAAGAATTTCCTCACCGTTTTGTCTGAGGGTTTCTAGTTCAGCTCGTGCCGTCTTCCTTTTTGTTAGATCTTCAGGTCTTACTTGGATGTCGGTATTGTCGTGGGTATGAGAGCGACTTGACAGATCACGTTCCTCTCCGACCCTGGGATTAACTTAAGGAATCTACATGATCTATCCTCTTACCTATTTCAATAAGTTTTTTGAACTGAACTGTTTTATTGTTATCTGGTAAGATTGTACAAGCATATTCTCCGAGCTTCTTCAAATCATAATCGTGTCTAATTTTGGGATCAGGATTGTGTGATACCAGCAAATTACTTAAAATAATGCTCGATGAGATTTTTTTGTTTTTTCTTGTTATCGGACTTTAGTAGTGTATTTTGTGACTCAAGATGGGAGTTCACCAAAGACTTGCTAACCAAGTGCGTATTCCCTACAGATCTTTTTCTCTTCGTTTCTTTTTTTCGTACTGCGGTCCATTTTTCGTCATTCAGAGCAGCCACACCGTGACTATTCGGAACGGTGAGAGTTTTATCCGGGTCTTCGATTTCCACTAAAGAGATTCATGATTACCAATGTCAATATTAAGTGGCGCTTCACATCTCGTTAGTTTTAATGGAGATTTCACTTCTTCGCCAATTACAGTCGGGTGTTTAACACGTCCCGTAACAGCACGTACTAAACTGACAGATTCTTCACTGTCAGTACTCGTGTTACCATCGCAATCACCATCGTTTTTTTACAGACGGAATCTAATAAGCTAATATCATCTTGGATTAGTAACATCTTATTTGCGCAGTAAAACATTCAAAGCCAATGCAAGTTAGGCTTCGAGCATCTTTTATGTGAGGTAGAACTTAAACGGGTAAACATCTTATGGGAGCACTTTTTACACTCATGTCGTTGCATTCCTTCCTCCACGGAAAACAAACAATTTGGCTGTCCACATCCATAAATACTCCCAACCATTGTAATCAGATTAAGAAGGTTCAAAACACAATATGACCACACCATGAACACGAATATCAGAGTCAATAAGAAAGAAGGTACCACAAAACAAAGCTTAGCAAGATTTCAAACCTTAACCGAAATACTTCAAGTTGAAGTAGACCAAGGATGCTTTTTGATGTAACAAGTACAGAGGAGAAAGGGTAATCACAGAAAGTACAAAATCACTGCAATTTTTGAAACGCGCGGTTTGATTTTGTTTGTGAAATTTCTTGGGATGCCGTCTCAGATTATCAGTCCTAGACGGAACGAGAATGTGGGCCAAAACCGTCGTTCAGTATACGGTTAGTCATTAACCTGAGGTAAAATAACTGAAATAGATTAGAGCGTGTCAGTATGTCTTCATAAGATTGGTCAGATAAACTTTTAACTAATATTGTCTCTGTCTGCTGATCCCGTTCTTGCATATCTACCTCACACTCATGACAAGCATGCGCCGCTTGAAGTCCAGATACTAAACTAGGCCTTACAAAAGTCGGATATGATACCCTAAACATTTTTGACTTCTCAAAAGCTTTTGATAGGGCCGACCATATGTGTCTGATCAATAAGCTCAGACGATTGGGTATCAAATCACCCTTAATTGATTGGATCACATCATATCCAAAAAATCAGCATTTTAATGTCAAGGTTAACTCCAATTTCTCTTAGGCTATGGAATGTCCTGGTGGGTCACCCAGAGTTCGGCATTACGACCTTTTTTCTTCATCATTTACACAAACGATCTTCCACAAAAGGTGTTGTATGACTTGCTACATTTTGATGATGATGTAAAACTTTGAAGAGGAAGAGAGGAGGCAACCATGAGAATATACTGGCACTTCTGAAGGATCTGACTCGACGGAAGAACCCCTCGCACAATCTTCAACAGTTTCATTCGTCCTTGTTTACAGTACAGAAACATAATATTTTTTTTCACTCCGAAACGATAAGAGCACTCTGGAGCGCATCCAACAGCGAGCCACGAAACCGGTTCAGGGACACAAATTCATGCCTTATGAAGGGCGCTTCCAATGGCTAAACGTTCACCCATTAGAGTACAGGCGTTTTAGAGGCGACCTTCTAATGGCCTACAGCATCCTCAACACTTCTGG